ATCCTTATCCATCAGAGGGCAGACCGAATGAAAACCACAGTCACTGATCACATGGACCACAGTCTTGACCTAACTCAATGAAACTAAGTCATGCCGTGTGGGGCCACCCAAGACGGACAGGTCATGGTGGAGAGGTCTGACAGAATGTGCTCCACTGGAGAAGGGAATGGTAAACCGCTTCAGGATTCGTGCCTTGAGAACCCCATGAACAGTATGAAAAGGCAGAAAGGTATGACACTGAAAGAGGAACTCCCCAGGTGGGTAGGTGCCCAATATGCTACTGGAGATCAGTGGAGAAATAACTCGAGAAAGAATGAAGAGACGGAGCCAAAGCAAAAACAACACCCAGCTGTGGATGTGATTGTGATGGAAGCAAGGTCTGATGCTGTAAAGAGCAATATTGCACAGGAACCTGGAATGTTATGTCCATGAATCAAGGAAAATTGGAAGGGGTCAAACAGGAGATGGCAAGAGTGAACATCGACATTTTAGGAATCAGTGAACGAAAATAGAATGGGTGAATTTAACTCAGATGGCCATTATATCTAATACTGCAGGCAAGAATCCCTTAGAAGAAATGGGGTAACTATCACAGTCAACAAAAGAGTCCAAAATGAAGTACTTAGATGCAATCTCAAAAACAAAGAAATCATCTCAGTTCATTTCCAAGGCAAACCAATCAGCATCACAATAATCCAAGTCTATGCCCCAACCAGTAATGCTGAAGAAGCTGAAGTTGAAAGGCTCTATGAAGACCTTCAAGACCTTCTAGAACTAACACCCAAAAAAGATGTCCTTTTCATTATAGGGGATTGGAATGCAAAAGTAGGAAGTCAAGAGATACCTGGAGTAACAGGTAAAATTGGCCCTTTGAATACAAAATGAAGCAGGGCAAAGTCTAATACACTTTTGCCAAGAGGACGCACTGGTCATAGCAAACACCTTCTTCCAACAACACAAGACAAGACTCTACACGTGGACATCACCAGATGGTCAATACCAAAATCAAATTGATTATATTCTTTGCAGACAAAGATGGAGAAGCTCTATATGTTCAGCAAAAACAAGACTGGGAGCTGACTGTGGCTCAGACCATGAACTCCTTATTGCCACAGTCAGACTTAAACTGAAGAAAGTAGGGAAAACCACTAGACCATTCAGGTAAGATCTAAATCAAATCCCTTACGATTATAGAGTGGAAGTGAGAAATAGATTCAAGGGATTAGATCCCACAGACAGAGTGCCTGAGACTATGGACGGACATTTGTGACATTGTACAGGACACAGGGATCAAGACCATCCCCAAGAAAAAGAAATGCAAAAAGGCAAAATGGTTCGCTGAGGAGGCCTTACAAATAGCTGTGAAAAGAAGAGAAGCAAAAGGCAAAGGAGAAAAAGAAAGATTTGAATGCAGAGTTCCAAAGAATAGCAAGGAGAGATAAGAAAGCCTTCCTCAGTGATCAGTGCAAAGAAATAGAGGAAAACAATAGAATGGGAAAGACTAGGGAACTTGAAGAAAATTAGACATACCAAGGGAACATCTCATGCAAAGATGGGCACAATAAAGGACAGAATTGGTATGGACCTAACAGAAGCAGATGATATTAAGAAGAGGTGGCAAGAATACACAGAAGAAGAATACAAAAAAAGATCTTCAGGACCCAGATAATCACGATGGTGTGATCACTCACCGAGAGCCAGACATCCTGGAATGTGAAGTCAAGTGGCCCTTACAAAGCATTGCTACGAACAAAGCTAGTGGAGGTGATGGAATTCCAGGTGAGCTATTTCAAATCCTAAAAGCTGATGTTGTGAAAGTGTTGCACTCAATATGCCAGCAAATTTGGAAAACTCAGCAGTGGCTACAGGGTTGGAAAAGGTCAGTTTTCATTCCAATCCCAAAGAAGGGCAATGCCAAAGAATGTTCAAACTACCGCACAATTGCACTCATCTCACACACTAGCAAAGCAATGCTTAAAATTCTCCAAGCCAGGCTTCAACAGTACATGAACTTGAAATTCCAGATGTTCAAGGTGGATTTAGAAAAGGCACAGGAACCAGAGATCAAACTGCCAACATTCGTTGGATCATCGAAAAAGCAAGAGAGTTCCAGAAAAACATCTATTTCTGCTTTAATGACTACGCCAAAGCCTTTGACTGTGTGGATCACAATAAACTGTGGAAAATTCCTAAAGATGTGGGAACACCAGGCCACCTGACCTGCCTCTTGAGAAATCTGTATGCAGGTCAGGAAGCAACAGTTAAAACTGGACATGGAACAGACTGGTTCCAAATAGGAAATGGATTCCGTCAAGGCTATATATTGTCACTCTGCTTATTTAACTTATATGCAGAGTATATCATGTGAAATGCCAGGCTGGCTGAAGAACAAGCTGGAATCAAGACTGTCAGGAGAAATATCAACAATCTCAGAAATGCAGATGACACCACCCTAATGGCAGAAAGTGAAGAACTAAAGAGCTTCTTGATGAAAGTGAAGAGGAGAGTGAAAAAGTAGGCTTAAAACCTAATTCAGAAAGCTAAGATCATGGGATCCGGTCCCATCACTTCATGGCAAATAGATGGGAAACAATAAAAACAGTGAGAGACTTTTTATTTTTGGGTTCCAAAATCACTGCAGATGGTGACTGCAGCCATTAAATTAAAACACACTTGCTCCTTGGAAGAAAAGTTATGACCAACCTAGACAGCATATTAAAAAGCAGAGATATTACTTTGTCAATAAAGGTCCATATAGTCAAAGCTACGGTTTTTCCAGTGGTCATGTACGGATGTGAGAGTTGGACTATAAAGAAAGCTGTGCCCCACTATGAAAAAGAATAATTTGAATCAGTTCTAGTGAGGTGGATGAAACTGGAGCCTATTATACAGAGCAAAGTAAGTCAGAAAGAAAAACACCAATACAGTACATTAACGCATATATATGGAATTTAGAAAGATGGTAACGATGACCCTACGTTGAGACAGAAAAGAGACACAGATGTAAAGAACATACTGTTGGACTCTGTGGGAGCAGGCAAGGGTGGGATGATCTGAGAGAATAGCACTGAAACATGTATATTATCAGATGTGAAACAGATCACCAATCCAGGTTCGATGCATGAGACAGGGTGCTCAGGGCGGGTGCACTGGGATGACCCAGAGGGATGGGATGGGGAGGGAGGTGGGAGGGGGATTCAGGATGGGAACACATGTACACCCATGGCTGATTCATGTCAATGTATGGCAAAACCACTACAATATTGTAAAGTAATTAGCCTCCAACTAAAATTTAAATAAATAAAATAAAAAAGAAAAAAAGAAAGCTGAGTGCCAAAGAATTGATGCTTTTGAGCTGTGGTGTTGGAGAAGATTCTTGAGAGTTCTCTGGGCTGCAAGGAGATCCAACCAGTCAATACTAAAGGAAATCAGTCCTGCATATTCATTGGAAGGAGTAATGCTGATTGAAACTCCAATACTTTGGCTACCTTTTGTGAAGAACTGACTCACTGGAAAAGACCCTGATGCTGGGAAAGATTGAAAGTGGGAGGAGACGGGGACAACAGAGAATGAGATGGTTGGACGGCATCACTGACGGAATAGGCATGAGTCTGAGTAAGCTCCGGGAGTTGGTGATGGACACGGAGGCCTGGCGTGCTGCAGTCCATGGGGCCACAAAGAGTCAGACACGACTGAGTGACTGACCTGAGCTGAACTGAGACAATCACAGTTCAGCTGTATTTTAAAAGCTCACTCCAGGCACTGTGCGGAGGAGAGATTGATTAAGATAGGGAGCCTGGCATGGAGCACCATTCCATTCAGCATGCTAACGTGCTCTGCCCTGCGGCCTGCTTTTAAAAATTGCATTCTGAATTAGTTGTGGGCATCGAGCAGTTGGGAGCTCTCACATACACTTACAGTTACAGGCTTCTTTTGAAACTTAGGTGACCTGGCAATGCTGAGGACATATTCCTGACCTTTTGAAAACTGGCTGGAGCATGAGCCTTCTAAACAGCGACCCTTTTTGGTCAAAATGGGTGCTCTCCTGCATGCCATGGTCTGACAGAATTTCTTGGTTCAGTTTTATGGCTCCTGCCTTTCCAAGAGAACATGAAGACCAAGGATGAGGGAGTATGGTGTGCAACTATGTTAGACCAATATTGGGAGCCATGTCCCATCCCCAGGCCTGAGTCACTACAGACTTCACTCAAACAATTCTCGCCTTGATCATTGGATTTTCCCTTTCTCCAGGATCATTCTCATTGACATAAGAACCTGTTGTCATTTCTTTGATCTTAAAAATAACTTCTCCTGTTCTGCTTTCTTAGAGCAAGAGGGATTGCACCCAAACAAAGCTCCCCTTCATGTTGTCAGGAATTGGCAGCTGGCAAGTTTTAGCAGGCATCGCTGCCCTAGGCTCAGACTACCTGATGCGTCCAAGAGCTGTTCATCCTCACTAGCAAGGCTGTGCTCACTCCGGCCCTGTAGCAGGGAGAGTAACAAGCAAGCACGTCCTTCCCTTAGAGTTCATCTAGCTGCTTCCAGCTCCGAGCACATTCCTCCAAGACAGCAGGGAACTGCATGCCTGATGGCATCTGTCACTGGTGTCACCAGAACCCAGGGCACACCCCCCTGGCCTTTTCTTTTTCTCATCTCTCACATCCTCCTGACTCTTTCCTCAAGGCTGTAGCTGACCACTTCCCATCACCTCCAGTGGCACTCCCTGATTGAAGCCATGGTCTTCTCTGGATTAACAATATTCACTGTTTTAGTTATCTATTGTTACCTGTTAGTTATCTATCGCTGTATATCACATGTCCCCCAAACTTCCTGGCCTGGAACAGCAACATCCATGCTCTCAAAACTCATGTGGATCAGGAGTGCACTTGCGGCTTAGCAGGCTCCTCTGCTTTAGAACCCGTCATGGTCTCTAGGTATCCGCTGGGCTGCCCAGTCGGCTCCAACACACTGGCCTCCTCTCGCTTCTTCAAACATGCTGGTCATGCCGCTGCCCCGGGCCTCTGAACTGGCTCCTCCCTCCTCAGGAAAGTTCCTTCTCCAGGTTTCTGTATTGTTGATATACTCAGTGGGCTTCCCCGACGGCTCAGCTGGTAAAGAACCTGCCTGCCAATACAGGAGACAAGAGACAAGAGTTTTAAGCACTAACCTTCTTTAAGGCTTTGCTCAAACATCATCTCCTTTTTGCAGTCTATCCTGGCAAAATCACCCCATCCCCGGAACTCCTGATTTCTTTTATATTCTTTTGTTTTTCAATAACAGTTCTAATATACTAGTTAAATTACTTACTCATTACATAACATATAACGTTAAACCCATAAGGGCGAAAAATCTTTTTCTGTGGTTTATGGCTGAATCCCAAGTGCCTGGAAAAGAATAGGTGCTCAAGAAAAATTTCCTAAATGAGTAAGTGAAGATGGCTGAGGACCAGCCTTGGGAAACAGCATGTTTAAGTGACTGGTAGAGGAAAGAGACCCAGGAAGAAAATGGAGTACTGAGCATCTCCTGTGCCCTATTTCATATCCTACTGGCCCCTTTTTCTCTCTTTTTTTAAAGTGATAATTCTCTCAGTTTTACTAATTTAATTTTTGTCCACATCCTTCAGCAATGTGTGACCTTAGTTCCCTGATTAGGGTCCAAGCCTGTGCCCCTGCACTGGAAAGTGGAGTCTTAACCACTGGACCGCCAGGGAAGTCCCCTCCTTTCTTAATCTTGCTGTTTTCGCAGGTGCGCCCAGCTGAGCTCACACATAATCTGAAAGTACCTCATCACAACTGTACCAAATGAGCGGGGGTTTTGCTACAAGGATTCGCTGCCATTGGCGGAAAGGGTACCTTCAGGGACCCCTGGACTCTTCTCCCACTCACAGAAATGGGGGAGCGAAATGCTTCTAACAGCCTTGACCAGTGGGGGATGGGAACTGATGGGTGAAGCCTCCCCTCTACTGAACCTCTGGAGGAACACTCCCAAGTGCATCTTTGTAGCTCTCTATACTGTCCCTAGCAAGATAGAATCTGGTGGCCATAGTGGTGATATTCTCAGTCCAGGGTAATACCAGAAAATCAGTTTGTTTTCCTTCTCTGCTTTACTGTTCCAACTCCCTCTGAACTCACGTTTAGACAGAAATCACTTTCAAAAATTAATTCCTGGCTTGCATGCCTTTGTTTCATCATCTGCAGGGAAAGCTATGTTGAGACATGTCAAAGTGAGACTGCTATTTATTAAAAAAATGAATCCACAGATAATCAAAAAAGCATGAATGAAAATACTTTCCAATGCTATACGGAGTCGAGTGAGATTGGGAAATCTGGAGACCACACTGAGTGCACTAGAGAGGTGGGTGGGGAAGCAGTATCAGAAAACTACAATGAGGTATCAACTCACACCGGTCAGAATGGCCATCACCAAAAAGGCTACAAAGACAAATGCTGGAGAGGGTCTGGAGATAAGGGAGGCCTCCTACGCTGTTGCTGGGACTGTAAATCGGCGCAGGCACTAAGGAGAACCATATGGAGGTTCCTTAAGAAACCAAAAACAGAGCTACAGTATGACCCAGAAATCCCACTCCTGGGTGTATAGCCAGAGAAAACTCTAATTCATAAAGGAACTCTAATTCAAAAACTCTAATTTGAAAAAGTGCTCCAGTGGTCACAGAAGCACTGTTAACAATAGCCAAGGTCTGGAAGCATCCTGAAGCAACCTGAGTCCCCACTGACAGATGAATGAATAAAGAACATGTGGTATATACATACGATGGAACATTACTCAGCCGGAAAAGCAATGAAATAATGCCACTTGCAACAACATGGATGGGCCCAGAGATTATCATACTAAGTAAATAAAGTCAGATAGAGAAAGTCAAATATTATATGCTAACACTTACATGTGGAATCTAGAACAGGACACAAATGAACTTGTTTATGAAATAGAAACAGACTCACAGGCAGAGAGAGCAAACCTCTGGTTACCAAAGGGGAGAAGGCGTGAGGGGGTAACTGAGGAGCTTGGGATTAGCAGACACACACTACTATATATAAAAGAAACAACAAGGTCAGGGAACTAGATTCAATATCCTGTAATAAGCCATAATGGAAAAGAATATGCATATAAATATATATGCATAATAACTGAATCACTTTGCTATACACCTGAAACAAACACAATAGTGTAAATCAACTGTTCTTCGTCCTCCAAAAAAAATAAAACAGACTATGTAGTAGATGAAGGTAAGAAAATGGAGATGACTCTGTTTTGAAGGAAAGGAGCAGATTAGGGAGACAGCTTGAGGTGGGGGGTGGGATGCTGGGCACAGTGGGACAAAACAGATGTTCCAAGAACAAATACAATCTAATGAAGAAAGTGTCATAAAGTCATAACGCAGGGATCTGCATGCCACATCGGCTGAGGAAGGAATACAGGAAGGCGATCATGAGCGGAGTCTTCCAGCTCAGTGTTGCTGGCAGAGCTGTTGAAGGGTTGCAGGCCCACAGCCTCTGAAAGGCACTGAACGCTGAATGAGAGGTGTGCCTGAGGAATTTCAAGTTCATCACCCAGGTTGGAGCCTATGCTGTCCTGATGGTTACAGGTGGCACCAGAGTCGTTACGGGGCCAGAAGGTTGTCTGAATAGTGTCTGAGCGGTGGCTGAGTAGTGTCTCTCAGCGAGCTTTCCTTCATTAGGAACAGTTCAGTTACAGAAGAAAGAGTGCCGTGATCACCCTAACAAAACCGATAATTCCCTCATGTCGTCTAATACTTGGTCCATCATTTATTGAGCCCAACTGGTTTTTTTTTTCCTTTTGGCCAACCCTATGGCATGTGGCATCTTAGTTCCCTGACCAGGGATTAAACCCTTACCCCTGTATTGAGAGCACAGAGTCTTAAGCACCGCACTGCCAGGGAAGTCACTGACCCAATGGTTACAAGAATATTTTTTAGAGTTGGTTTGCTGGAATCAGAATCTAAACAAAAGCAACATTTTATATTTTAAGTGACTCAAGTCTTTTTCATCTAGAGAAGTAGCCCGCATATTTTTTTTTCCATGACATTTACTTGTTGTGAAAATTGAATTCAAATATTTTAAAGTGTATCTACTGAATAGCCAGGCAAGACTGATTTTATAATATCTGCCTTCTGGAAATTACTGAGATTTTCTTTACCACCCAAACATGTTCATTTTTGGCAAATGATTAATGGGCGCTGGAAAAGGAGGTCTGCTTTACATTTGGACAATCATGTTAAGGCTTTTACAGTCCTGGCAGCCCAACAGCTGCAGGCTATACTCAGGAAAGGTGAAGACCAGGATCAATAAATTAAAAAAAATACCTGTCCTGGATCAGCCCATCTGTTTGCTAAACAAGCATCCCTTTGTCAAGAACATGAAGCTAGTTGTCCCCAAGTTCTCCACACCCAGGGTTCCAGGCAGTCAACCAAAATTCTGTAGGAACATCTTCAAGATGACTCCATCCACAGGGGGAGACCAGGAGGAAAGGGTGTCAAATGACAAAAGGGAGCTCCTGGCTCATGTTTTGCCACAAATACTTAGGAGGAAGACTTCTTGTATAAATAATGTGGGGCATGACCCCTTAGCCCTCAAGGAGGTCTCATGATGACTGGCAGACAATTTACACCTCCTTTGCCTAACTGTGATGCTCAGGCAATGAAGGGCGGACGTGTCAGGACCTGAGCTGCTAAGCCCACAACTTTTTGCTCCAGCGCCTCCATCCATAACCGTTATGCCCAAGTGCCTTCATCCACAACAGTTATGTGCATGCTTTTGCCCCCACAATCCTTGTACACATGCTCCTCCACTAAGGATCCTTGGGCACAAGCTCCTCCCCTCTCGCCCCAGAGCGGTACCCAAAGCTAGGTCCTGCGGGGTGACTGCACACTGACCAAACCCAGACCATGACCCCCCGAGTCTCCCAAGTTTCCTGGGACAAACTCTTCTCTGAGTCTTTTGACTCATCAAAAGACATCACATCAGCTTAAAATTGAATGCAGATATTGGTAATAGAGACCAGAAATTCTAGCGGCTTCAGTTTGCTTTTCTTTTCTGTGTAGAGTATCTCTGAATTAGTCAGGACATTAGGAAGTAACAGTGGCTTCAGGATACCACTGAGGAATCAGGGTCCTCCTACCTTTCTGTCATTATGAACCAAGGTTTTTCAGCACGCAAGTACCTGCATTTCTGGACTTCCTCTTTTCCCTTCTATTCCTACTGGAAGACAGGCCAATGATTTTTCTGAGTTCACCTCTTTAACGCAAAGTTCAGCCAATAGTACCAAGTCAGGCTACTAGTATTCTGTTTGTGACTCCTAAGACCACAAGCTCATTGAGCTCATTATCTGTCTTCCAAGTTAGTGGTGAGAATTAGATCAAATGTTTCACTACAGCATAAATGAGATGGCATCTTAGTGGTTTCATAACTTTCCTTGCCATTCTCTGGCCAGACCCAGAGTTGATGCACATATATTGTTTGTTTGTTTGCTTGTTTTTCCCTCAACACTTACTTTTAGACACAGGTGCTTGTTGGGCTGGTCTGGCTGTGTTTCTGTAATAAATAACCTCAAAGATTCTGAGGCTTATAACCACAAATTTTCTTTCTTTTTCATTCCCACCTCGCTGAGATTCAGCTATGTATTTTCTACAATTCAAGACTGAGATTAAGTGAGCACTTCTCCCAGATGTTGCTGGGTACAAGGTAATAGAAAAAAGAGAAGGTGATGGCTCTTAAGGCTTCTGTTACAAAGTTGAACACATTATTTCTGCTCAAATTTCGTTGGCCAAATTTTCATGGCAGTGGCATAGAGCAACATAATCCTCCTGTAGAGAAGATGATGCATTACATGTTCAAACTTGAAGCCAGAGCAGGATATGCGTGCCTTTCCCATGGAGGGCAAAGCAGATGAAGCGAGCCCCCCATGAGTATTCCCTGGGCCTGACTATTTTGGTACAAATTGGCCTCAGATGCAGCTGCCAGCATGGAGCGTTCCTGTCCATGTTTAGAACAGGGCCATAATGCCAGGAAATCCATGCCTCCTCCCACTGTCCCCCACCCCCAGGAAGTCTTCCACCCAGTGAACATTCCAGCTCCCTCATCCCTCAGCTGCCCTCTGTGGTAACCTGCTTTATAACATCCCCTTTGCTGGCTTCTGTCCTGTTTCTATCTTGCTTTTCATTCCCAAGTTTGTTTTTCCTGTGATCACTTCCCATACAAACTACTTGCACTTGAATCTTTGTTCTAGGGTCGCCTTCTGGGAATCCAAACTAAGGCAGAAGGACATAAAATATTTAGAGCAATGATACAATCTGCCCCGAAGAGAAGAATGGCTTTGGGCGGTAGTTAGCCTTCAAGGCCAGAAATCCCTTCTGGAGAATGGACCCACCCTTCTCCACGTGTCTGTCCTCAAATCTGTTCATCTCTTAGGCAGACCATAAACACTGTTTCCCAGAAGTGATAAGGACTCCTGTACTAGATTTTTTTTTTTTTTTTCCATTTTTGGGCTACAGGAAGCAAGACTGGTTGTTTACTCTTAACAAATCTCACTACCTGTCACAGGGCCTCGAGGTATTTACACAGGAATTCCTTTTATAGGCAATTTATAGGCTCCCCGCTCACAGTACTGATGCTGCTGTAGCAGGTGGAGAGGCTGAGAGCAGGTGTGTCCCAGCCCTTCTCTGTGTCTCACCTTCCCTGCTTCCCAGACACACCCCCTCCCCACGTGCCCATTCACAGAGCATTTCTCGTCCACAAAAATCACCCTGCAGTGCTGCCCAGCATCCAACAAGCCTCAGGCGTATACAAAGCACTCTCTCCACGAACAAAGGCATGTGCTGTGTGCTAAGTCGCTTCAGTCGTGTCTGACTCTGCAACCCCAGGCCTGCAGCCCTCCAGCCTCCTCGGCCCGTGGGATTCTCCAGGCAAGAATACTGGAGTCAGGGATCTTCCCGACCCAGGGATCGATCCTGCTCTCTTACATCTCCTGCACTGGCAGGTGGGTTCTTTACCACTAGTTACCTGGGAAGACCGCACACAGGCATGCCTACAAACTAAAGCAGAAATGAGACAACTTAGTTTTCTTATTTTGAAGCAAAAATTAAAAAACAACAACAGAAAAAGACTCAAAAAGATCTTTCTGAATTGGCGCGCTCTCTCTGTCTCTCTCACACACGCGCGCGCACACACACCGAGTCAGTTTGATACTCATGGTTCTCCCACTGGAAATGCTGTGACACTAGGAAGTGTAGAAGCCCACAATTCAGCAGCATGTGTTGTGCAGGGCAGTGTAAACTAGAACTACATCCGTCCGCAGGAAAGAAGTGTTCTCGCCCCTTTAAGAAGAAAGTACATATACAGACATTTTAAAAGGAAAACCAAAACAGGAGTAGAAAAATCCCTATTCAATCTAGTGCAGGGCTTCCCTAGTGGCTCAGGGGTGAATAATCCACCTGCCAATGCAGAAGACATGGGCTCAGTCCCTGGTCTGGGAGGATCCCACGTGCCATGGAGCCACTAAGACCGTGCAGCAAAACTCCTGAGCTTGTTCTCAGGAGCCTGGGAGCTGCAGCTTCTGAGCCCACCTGCCGCAACTTCTAAAGCCCGCGTGCCCGAGAGCCGTGCTCCACAACAAGAGAGCCCCTGCAATGAGAAGCCCACTCGCCGCAACTGGAGAGTGGCCCCCCACTCGCCGCAACTAGAGAAAAGCTCGAGCAGCAACGAAGACGCAGCACAGCCAAAAGTAAATATCCACAGGCTAATACAATTATTTTTAAAAATCCTGTCCAGAAATCAGAACTTGGTTATAAAATATTTTAAAGCCCTTTAAGAGGATTGATGTTGCTTATTACTGTAAAAGTAATCAAACCAAACCTTACATAAGGATGGAGCCTTGCAGACTGTGACAGGAAGAGCAGAAGCCCTGTTGTAACCGACATCCTGCACACAGGCTGCAGCCGTCACACAGATGGGACAGGGAATGAGCTTCTGTTCCAGGGAAAAGAGACACACACTTGTGTCCAAAGGAAAAAAAGTTCTCAGTTCTTTGTGTCATCTTTGAGTTGTCATATATTTTCGCTTCTTTGCATTCTAAGTGTCCGCTCTTCTCTCTGGCCGCCTGTCATCACGGGTGGCTGATTCGCTCTGTTTTCCAGTCATGATCCTCCCCTGAAAGGGAGGAGTACGAGGACTCAGCCCCTCTGGGCAGGGCACGCTGGGCGGGAAGGGCGGGGGGGACCTGAACTTCCATCTGGATGTGACTTTCGATGACGCCAGTTATCATTTCTTTGAGGAGATGGCCTCAGAGGGGAAAAAATCAATGGAGTGACATGCAAGAGGCAATTGTGGGTTGGAGACACACAGCTAGATTCCAGACACTGAAGCTGACACAGCCCTTACATGGAGGCTCCCAGACTAGGAATCTAAGGGAAGTGAGATTAATAGCGAAAAACTGGGGGATGAGGCAAAGCCTTGCAAACTTTTAATTTTACCGAGTGAGCAGATTAAGAAAAGCCAACCTACAAAAGATATCACTTATTAGTGCCACTATTTTCAAAAAGAAGGACATCTGACTCTCCCCTTTCAACTGACTGTATGTTGCATTATGAGAACAGATAATACGGTCTTAGTTTTCCTCCAGGCTGACGTCTAGATTAGGCTGGGGAAAGCTCCACGTGGGTCTCACTCTATTCCAAGGATGGATGTTAGGGAAACACTGTTTCAGGGAGCCCCCTGGAAGAGCTTTTATCTTCTGGGCAGGAATCTTGACAGGCTTCAGATGTCATAATGTTGAGCACTGAAGCCTCTGGTTCATCCCTGAATTCCACAAATGTTTTAAGTAACTAGTTTGGCAGTGGTCTCCCCTGATAGATTTATAAAAATTTATATTTTAATGCCATTCATGTAATTCTTGAATTACTCAATTGATAGGTTTGCACAAGAATGAGCTAGAACAAATTTACTGGGCCAAGTGTCTTACTATAAACCATTACAGCATTGTAAGATTAAACGATTGGCTCACGTATTTTAAAGTGTTTGTCTATCTTTCTCTGCTAAGCAGAACATATATTTAAAATACAGCTGGTCTTTCCTCCAGCAAAAAAACCTGAGCCAAAGGTAAGGAGAATGTGCTCTAGTTAAGCATCTTCCTTGAGGATAATGCAACATGTATCATCTGGGTCCTGTTTAATAAGTCTGGTAAAAGAATTGTTAAAAGATCTTTAGGGACTTACCTGGTGGTCCAGTGGCTAACACTGTGTACTTTCACTGTAGGCGGCGCTGGTTCAATCCCTGATAAGGGAACTAAGATCTCACATGTCTCACAGCATGCCAAAAAAAGAAGACCTTTCATCAGGAAACCAAGAGATGTTGCTAGTTCTTTTCATCAAGGTAATTAATTTGCTTTTCTCATTTAAGAAAATGTCCATATTTTAAAATAATACTTACTGTTCAAGGTCAATAAACTTGTGATGACTATAGTAAGGACTGGTTCCCAGGCAAGACTCTTCAATGGATACTAAATATAGAGGGACATTTTTAATGGAGAGCAAAATATTTGCATGGTCTTACAGTATCTCCCCTTAGAGAATCTCTTAGTTGAAAGAAGAAAAAAATATCCTAAATATACAGGAGAGTAATTGGAAAAGCCCTGGAGCAAGTAGTCACAATTAATGTCAGGTGGACATCATGGGCCTGCAGGTGTGGACCTGTCCTCACCTTTGTAGTGATTACATGGACAAAGGTCAAGTCCAAGGGATGCAGGTGCAAGACCTGAGATGAATCTTGGGACAACCATGGAGGAACCACTTAGTGGCTATGGATCATCTTAGAACTAGTATTATGTGGAATGGAAATAAGCTACCTTTTTTTTTTTTTAACATTTAAAGACAGCTAAAATCCAACTTAGATACTTTAAAGATTTCTACATTCTTGATTCAGAAGGCATATTAAAAGCAACTATAGAAAACTCATATGTGAATTTGTGGCCTGTTCTAAGAGGTATTTCATTGTTATAAATGCTATAATTATTAAACAAGAAAAATAGCACAGATGAGAAAGGATTCAACTCAAGAAGTTATATGAAGAGCAATAAAACAAGCCTAATGAAATATAGGGAGTTAATAAAGTTGAAAGCAGAACATAAATAATTAAGAAAAATAGACTGCATAAATAATATATTCTTGAGGACAACAATGAATTTTTCTGTCAAGTGTCATCTCAGAAAGAAATTAGAGAATATAAATTCACAAAACTAAGTTGAAAAATATATTTTTCATAACCAGAGAAATGAATATTGTTTCCAAAGTTTTAAAAAGTAATATATATTACCAATTCTTACACAAAATAGTACAAAATTGTACACAGATAAAATAGGTAATGAATAGCTGTGAAAGAAATGGAAAATGTTACCAAAGTAAGGTTCACTCAGATATGGCTTTGTAAATTAGTTATTTCAAAGTATGAAGGGACAGAAAATTCTCATAATAACTATTTCTATCACTGAAAATGATGGGAAGCTTCATAGCTCATTTATGGAATGAGTGTAAGGCTGAGGCTGAAACCTAACAGAAAAGACTAAAACATAAAATTTAAAGCTGAAGTAAAATATACAATAAAACAAATTTCATGTGATTGTTTCATATTTATGATTTGAACTTTTCTATATAAATGTGACACTTCAGTAAATATTTAAAATAGAAAAATATAAATCTCACTGTTGATATAAATAGTAAGCTCTTAAATAATAGTTAGATTCAGTAGTTTATTAAAAATGGCCACCTCAGGAGCAAGTGGGGCACTGTCTAAGATTTTTATCCTTGAATTAAGATTTCTTAGTAAAATATATAATAATTTATCTCATCAAATAAAAACCATGTAGTAAAAAGTCATTTGGTGAATATAAATATACACAAAACATTGAACTAGAAATACAAAGAACATTTAACATAGTAAAAAAGAAAATCTAAGGCTAGCTTCAGTTCAGTTCAGTCACTCAGTAGCGTCCAACTCTTTGCGACCCCATGAACCGCAGCACGCCAGGCCTCCCTGTCAATCACCAACTCCCGGAGTTTACTCAAACCCATGTCCATTGAGTCAGTGATGCCATCCAATCATCTCATCCTCTGTCGTCCCCTTCTCCTCCTGCCCCCAATCCCTCCCAGCATCAGGGTCTTTTCCAACAAGTCAACTATTCGCATGAGGTGTCCAAAGTATTAGAGTTTCAGCTTCAGCATCAGTCCTTCCAGTGAACACCCAGGACTGATTTCCTTCAGGATGGACTGGTTGGATCTCCTTGCAGTCCAAGGGGCTATCAAGAGTCTTCTCCAACACCACAGTTCAAAAGCATCAATTTTTCGGTGCTCAGCTTTCTTCACAGTCCAACTCTCACATCCATACATGGCCACTGGAAAAACCATAGCCTTGACTAGATGGACCTTTGTTGGGAAAGTAATGTCTCTGCTTTTTAATATGCTGTCTAGGTTGGTCATAACTTTCCTTCAAAGGAGTAAGCATCTTTTAATTTCATGGCTGCAGTCACCATCTGCAGTGATTTTGGAGTCCAAAAAAATAAAGTCTGACACTGTTTCCAATGTTTCCCCATCTGTTTGCCATGAAGTGATGGGACCAGATACCATGATCTTAGTTTTCTGAATGTTCAGCTTTAACCCAACTTTTTCACTCTCCTCCTTCACTTTCATTAAGAGGCTCTTTAGTTCTTTTTCACTTTTTGCCATGAGGGTGGTGTCATCTGCATATCTGAGGTTATTGATATTTCTCCCGGCAATCTTGATTCCAGCTTGTATTTCGTCCAGCCCAGCGTTTCTCATGATGTACTCTGCATATAAGTTAAATAAGCAGGGTGACAATATACAGCCTTGACTGTTTGGAACCAGTCTGTTGTCCTTGTTCAGCTCTAACTGTTTCTTCCTGACCTGCATACAGGTTTCTCAAGAGGCAGGTCAGGTGCTCTGGTATTCCCATCTCTTTCAGAATTTTCTACAGTTTATTGTGATCCACACAGTCGAAGGCTTTGGCATAATCAATAAAACAGAAATAGATGTTTTTATGGAACTCTCTTGCTTTTTTGATGATCCTTAGCTTACAAAAATACCAGAAACATTCTCATTATAATAAGAAGAGACAAAGATTTGAACTATTGCCATTGATTTTCCTTACACCTTATTTTGAAAGATTCAATCAATAACATAAATGTAACTAAGATATTTAACAACTGAAAAGGAGGAGATACAATTATTATTTGTAGTTGCTATCATTTGACTTGAAAAATGAAGATAATTCAATAGAAAATTTTACACAACTAATAAAATGCCCAGAGACAAGGTGTATATGTAAAAACCAATAGCTGCAGTGGAAAAATTATTACTTCCACAATAGACAATAAAATATTTAATATCTAGGAATATGCTCAACAGAAAAAAGTGTAAGACAATTCTATAAGAAAAATAAAATCTGTTGTTATGCACAATATTCTGGAGTGAAAAATTCTTGGATCCTTTTGTAGTTCATGAGCATAATGATTGGGTGTTCACGCTGCTGTGTGAAATGTGCCTCCCTCCAAACCTTGTTACGACATTGGCACATTACCTTTCTGACGTGAAAAAAAAAAAAAAAAAAAAAGAAAAATTCTTACCAAATAAATTTAATACAGCATGTCCTTTAAAACAGCTCAAAGTGTGTGTGTGTTTGTTTTAACCTGGCAAATTGATGATTAAATTTCATTTTGCAAAATATACTTGCCAAGAATATTTTGAATAAACAAGTAGTATTAAAAAGAAACCACTCAACTAAGTATGAAAATACACATAAAGAGACAATAATTAAGTGAAAATAATTTAAACAACAGAAAAAAATGGTTTTTATATACTAAAAGAAGACTTTCAAAGGTAACGTTTTACACCAATAAATATTACTATGACCATTGGTTAACTATTTTTTGGGGGGTGAGGGAGGATTAAGAAAGGCTTCTTAAGTCAACAATGCAAAGAAATAGAGGAAAATAATAGAATGAGAAAGACTAGAGATCTCTTTAAGAAA